CTTCTTCTTCTTCTTCTTCTTCTTCTTCTTCTTCTTCTTCTTCTTCTTCTTCTACTTCTTGTCTTAAGTACTACAAGGTTGTTCAAAAGTAGGGAGCTATGATTCGTAGTTAGACAGAATCCGCTAAATTAACTGGCTGAAAAGAAAGCCTTGAGAACGTAAACCAGGGCTAGATTTATATTAATAAACTACAATTGACTAATGTTACGAACAATGCATAAAGTATTCTAAACCCAACTAATAATCCCGGGGAACACCACCATCAAGGCTGTCGATAGCAAAGCAAGGTACAGTGCTGTTATAATATTATGTCGACAGCATATACATTGTGGTTGGTTGGTGGGTGCTCTGGTGTTCGTTCCTATATTTTAAAAATCTTATTTATCGACCCCCTCCCTCTTCTTTGTTGTATTAGTAACACATCTAGTCTTCGGCACTTATATGACTTTATTGTGTTGCAAGTGCCGTAAAACTGTTACTAAAACTAAAGTATAAAGATTGTAAAGTGCATTCAGCTTGCTGTTGAGCGGGAACTTGCGCTATACAAGTGCTATCTATTATTAAATCATAAATATAGAATATTACCTCGGAAATAAGCTTATGGATTTTCTCCAATCCAAGCCAGAAATTACCAGAAAAGTTGCCAAATCCATTCCGGTAGTCCGCCCAGCCACGAAAAAAGTCAACGTCTGCCGAAGAACGTCTCTGAAGATACAACAAAATAATAAAGCCCGTTTCTTTGTTTTGTCTCAGTTAGTGTTTTATGGCACTTACAACACAATTAGGTCACGTTAGTGTCGAAGATTAGAAGTGCTACAAGAGCAAAGAACATAACAAATGCAAGAAAGGAGATATGAGGACAATTGATCTTTGCTAAGGAAGAAGGAGCAAACCACACACTTTGCCAGTTTGTAAGGTCTGTTGTTATGTAGCATGCTAAACCACATTATTAGAATAGTTAAGACCGTCTGTGGTTGACTCTACTAACGGAAGGATGAGAATATATTTCACAATAACTAAGTGATATTTTAGCAATAATGTTACATGCAATGATTTCCAAGCTTTTGGCAACTTCGAAAGAAAGGATTTCTCGTCTTAAACCACCAGTGAAGTTTCACAACAGTGTTTTGAGTTGAATACATTCTTGATGACGATTTTCTCTTTAACTTTGTTTTTTTTACAAATTTATTTATTTATTTATTTATTTATTTATTCAATTATTTATTTGTTTTTTGTTTTTGTTTAAGGGTTGTTTTTTAAAAAGGAAATTACGTTCATTAATGTTCCATTCGGTTTTAATGCCGAATCGCACAAACTTAAATATGTACAACGTACAAGCGTTTTGTGTCAGTGCAAAGGATGTGCCTTTTACAAAACAAGAATTGTCTACTGTTTGGAAAGTCACTGTGGAAATAATACATCCTTCATTGCAAGTTGTTTTCGCCTGTTTTATATCAGCTACAGCAAAATAATATTGATCTCACCTGTTTTACATCAGTTACGCAAAATAATGTTGATCTCACCTGTATTATATCAGCCTGCTTGCATTACAGTAAACTATTATTGTTCGTCTCACCTGTTTTATATCAGCCTGCATTACAGTAAAATACTATTATTGATTGCACGTGCAGTGTCTCAGCTACGTTGCTGTAAACCATTGTTAATCTCACCTGTATTGTATCAGCCTGTATTACAGTAAAAGATTACTTATCTCACCTGATTGCCTCATCCAGCATTCAAGTATAATATATTGTTGTTGGGTTTTTTTATCTCTTGCCCATTTATAATGAGATTGACGCCATCTGATTAGTAGAAAACAGTGCGTATGATAAATAGTGTCCAATAGGGTATTACATGCATACTTAGTATGTCAAGTAACTGTTACAGATAGAGATTCCAGGGTTATAGACGTAAATGATTGATTATTTTAGAAATAATGGTGGTGATGAGTGAGGATGTGCGATTGCGTTTAAGTAATATTAGCGTTAGTCCTATCTTCATCTGCTCCAATGTGTCATGAGAGATGTGGGCACCCTCTATGCCATTCCCTACTGGAACCATTTTTACGGTCACCGTGAAGTTCCGCGATGGTGAGCACAGTCTCTGCTAAGGTGACATTGTTAGTGTTACTGTTAGCCTATTCTATCGGGCCAAGACAAGTGTCGAGAGGAGCTAAGTGGGAAGACAGTATAGTGAGAGGTATGTTGGGGTATTCGTGAGTGGGATGTAGGTAGCAAGTTGGCATACAGATTATGAACTTTAAAAATGCAGCATTCTACTCCCTGACCATTTGCCTCGAGTATTCTTTTCGAGTCCTATTAAACTTGCGGAAATTCTGACTCAGGATCCTCGAACCCGAGTCGAGAGGGCACAATTTCACATAATACTTCTTTCCTGCTCTCTAGCAATGTTCTGTTGTCTGCCTTCATTTCCACTTTCTGCCCCCACCCCCTCACCTCCTTTGCCCCTCCTCTGGGCTCCTGACTCTTTCTGCAGCCTTTCTACTGCTACTCCTTGGCTCCTCCTTACTGCTGTCTTTCTGCCACACCCCTGATCTTCTGGTAGAAAAGATCTACATCTAGCCTTCTCGGACAAGGGCGAAAAATCTCGGAGGGCCCGTCAGCGAGTTGCGCACGTTAAAGATCCCTTGATGGCCTAAAATCGATAAGAGTAGGCCTCGGCCGCCACCTGGTCAAAATTCAAAATTTCCTACCAACTGAAAATATTAGGTCTGTCCTGCGCGCTCATATGACCTTATGTAGTTGCAAGCGCCGTAAAACACTTTACAAAAACAAACAAAAACAACTTATTTAAAATCATTGATCTCACCTGTGTAACAGGTTAATGATAATATTCAAATTCACATGTATTACAATTATTTAATCATAATTAATTATTTCTCACTCGTATTGCAGTTTAATCATAATTATCGATCTCACATATTTTACAGTTTAATAATAATAATAATAATAATAATAATAATAATAATAATAATAATAATAATAATAATAATAATTATTATTATTGATCTCACCTGTATTAAAGTTATAATTATTGATTTCTTCTGATTTACAGTTTAATCATAATTATGGATCTCACCTGTATTAGAGTTAAAAAATAATTGATCTCACCTGTATTCCAATTATAATTATTGATTTCTTCTGATTTATAGTTCATTCATAATCATTGATCTCACCCGTATTACAGTTCATTCATAATAATTGATCTCACCCGTATTACTGTTTAATCATCATAATCATTGATCTCACCTGGTTTACAGTTCATTCATAATAATTGATCTCACTAGTATTACAGTTCATTTATAATAATTAATCTCACCTGTATTACAGTTCATTCATAATAATTGATCTCACTAGTATTACAGTTCATTTATAATAATTAATCTCACCTGTATTACAGTTCATTCATAATCACTGATCTCACATGTATTCCAGTTATAATTATTGATATCTTCTGATTTATAGTTAAAACATAATTATGGTTCTCACCTGTATTACAGTTTAATAATAATAATAATAATAATAATAATAATAATAATAATAATAATAATAATAATAATAATAATAATAATGGATCTCACCTTTATTCCAGTTATAATTATTAATTTCTTTTGATTTACAGTTGAATCATAATTATGGATCTCACCTGTATTACAACCCAGCCACCACCGTCCGTCACGGTATCGCAAACGACCGTCATGCCTCTATTAAGCCGGACCACAGGCCGGGGACCCAGAGCCTGGGCGTCAGTGCACGTGCGGGGCTGAAAAGAAATCCACAGAGACAAGAGTCAGACGAACAACTGGAAGCGGGTGGTTGAAGGGTGCTCTGGTGTAGTTTATCGTTTATTTTCTCTATCTAACGTCTCTCGTCCTTATCTCTGTCCTTCTTTTTTGTGTTTGTTACTCTCTTGTAACACCTCTAATCTTTGGCAATTATATTGCAAGTGCCGTAAAACCCTTTCTTAAACTGAACAGCTGGGGGAAATGGCGAGGTGAGGTCGGCGTGGCTACTACATGACGCCAGGCATTCTGAGAGAATGTGGACCTTTGGGAAGTGTTATCTTTCAGTCAGGCAGTCAGTTTCTGTTTATCACTCAGTATCAGCCTGTCAACAACGTTATTACTCATGCGATCAAACAGTATAATAGTTTATCAATCAGTCATCCAGTCTGTAAACCACTCAGCTTGTCTGCCAGTGTATGACTCGGGCGATGGGCAGTTTATCAATCAGTCATTCAGTCAGTTCATCAATCAAATAATATGTGGTTTCTGTCTCTCATGTACAATATAATTTCAATCATATTATACACGCGAGGAATATTTTAAAAACCTCACCCAAAATACATCAGAATAGATTTTCACCTGTAGCTGGCTCTCCAACTCGCTTTCGACATCTTCTAGAGCTTCCATTGTTGCCGTTAAATTCCCCTCAAGTTCTTGTCTCTGTGAGAGCAGTTCTTTAAGAACCTCTCTCTTGTTCTTCTCCAAAGCTGCTTCCATGTTTTCAAGGATGTCTCTTTTCTGTTTCTGGCATTCCTTCTTGTTCTCCTCGATCGTGTTGCTCAAGGCCTGAAAGTGACCACACGAGGGTTATCATTATCATAATTATGAATAATATGTGTACAACTTTTTTTACCACTTTCTATTCTCCCTGCAAATAAATCTAATGATGAGACAACAGTATTGACAAACTAAATTGTTTTATTATTTTCTACGAGGCAGTGTACACTAATCAGTTAGGTTACAGCGACGATGCTGACCACAGCAAAGACGTATTTTAATTTTCAGGCCAAGCACAACGTTGGAAGTGATTATTTTTGCCTCCTCAAAGATCATAATCATTTATCATCATCCTTTCTTCACCTTAACGAAAACCTCAAGATACACGATTCCCTTCATTCAGAAATAATAACTCTGTTTCAGGATATCGACTGCTCGGTGTAAGACTGCAAGACTCAGTCATACGTCACTTTTCAAAATGGCGTATACTGGAGATGTGCAGCGACAAAGCAGTTGATACGCAGTTCCTGGGTAGATATGTTAACTCGTCAATATCAGGGAACAATAATGTGAGGATCCTGGTAAAAACCTGCGCTCGTCAATATAATAAAATCTAAAAAACAGGCATTTTCACACCCGTTAATTTGGCAATTTCTATCAATTATTTTTATCTCAACTCATTTAAAGTACGTTTAAAATCACATTACTGCGTTGATTTTAAATCTTTAAAAAAAGTTGATCAAGGGCAACCAATGAATGTAAATGTGCAGATTCCAAGGATATTCACGAGTTGGAAGTCACCAAATTTTGATGTCCATTTTCTCGCTAATTTTACGCCTGACTCTAGGCGACCTCTCCTTTTCAATAGCAAATATCTTGATTTACGAAATATATCTTTTTTTTCTCCTCATTTAAAGCAAGAAAAAGGAACAAGCTATATGATGCTAAGTCCCATCCAGAAAAAAAAGAAAAGAAAAGCCCAAAGACGTGTCTCAAAACTGACGAACGCTTGATTTCACCTCGTAGTGACAAAATACTTCGAGACAGATTCTCACATTCCACAGGATCTCCAATTTATTTTCCAAAATCGCCCCCAGTGCCTCCACGGGCGCCGTCATCTTTTTCAGGATTTGACGTTCCTTTGAGCGCAGTACGCGCTGACATTCTTTCTTGTTCTCTTCCACTCTGTGGCCAAGGACCTGTAAAGTGATCACACTCTTGAAAGTTATAAACAGGTATTATAGGCATTTCTATAAGGAGGGAGACGGATAAGCAGACAGAGAAGAACACAACAAAAAGACAATATCAAAGAGTGGACTGGCTGTGACTGGGACATCATACCAAAGATGATCATACTTCAGAAAATTGAGAGCCACGAGGAGTGGAAGAAGCTCGTTGTAAAGTAAAATCTACAGTGCCCCCCCCCCCCTCCCCCCCCCCCCTTACGGGCACGGATTATGCTTCAGACAGAGCCTAATCATAAAGAAAGAAAGGAAGAAAGAAATTGTAAAGAAAAAGACAGACACAGAAAGAAATTAAAAACCAAAGAAAGTAAAAGAAACGATGATATTGACAAACTGCATTGCTTTTTCACCTGTCAAGTACGCCAATGAAGGCTTTCTTTATAGTATCGAGGCAACAGTGGCTTTGCGAACACATAATGTTTCGATTTTCATTTGGCTCCCATAAAGTCCCTGTTAAACTTTTCCTGACGTTTCCGTCAGTTCAGATTCCATGGGCGCCCCGGTAGCTCAGATGGTATCATGCTGTACTACGGAGTGGATTTGCCCTGGTTCAAATCCAATACTGAGCATTCTTGTGCCCGGATCGCTTTGTTCAAGAAACCCATGCCATATTTGACAAAAATCGAGTGTTTGCTCTCCCGTGATCGCAGATCTTTCTTCGCCACAGATTTTTTCGAAAAGATATGCAATGGAGAATGATCTGCGGCTATGGAAAAGAAAAAAAAAAGAAAAAAAAAAGAAAGAAAAAAAGGAAAAAAAGGAAAAAAGGGGAAAAAGAGTCGATTTTTAGAAAAAAAAGTGGCATATGGGTTTCTTGAACTGAACTGAACCATTGAGCTGCGTGTCACTAGTGTCAGTAGTAAATATACGATCGAACAACTTCCACCCCCCCCCAATAGTCTTGGAAATTGTTCTCTATACATAGTGCATTTTAGGCAATCTGGTAAAGATATATTTCCTTGCCCTGGGAGCTGTGTATTTCCTACTTTTTTAAAGATAAATAATAATTCATTCGTGGACAAAAGTTTTCCCGTCAATGGTGGGGAACAAATACTATGAGACAGATTCTCACCTGTAGCTGGCTCCTCAACTTGTTTTCAAAACCTGATTCAAGAACCTCCATTGTCGACGTTACATTTTCCACCAAGTTTTGTTTTAGCATATTCAGTTGCGAAGAACATTCTCTTTTATTCTGTTCCACAATTTCGCCTAGGATCTGAACAGTGAGAACTGTTTTACGTGTGATGAACACTGGCCGACTTTTTTGCCACACGACGTTTTCCTGAAATGTGAGAGTTATGACATCGCAGCGGTACTGGCCAGTCGTTTCATCTGTTGCCACAGGCCAAATAATCCTCAGGAAACTGTCTTCAGCCGAGTCGATACTGCCTTCAACAACAAATACATCTCCAGATTTTTGTCTGACTTTCATTTCTCCGCGCTGGAGTTCTGCCACACTGCTCCACTCTTCATGGTCCCACTTCAGTATCCTCATCAGGAGAATGTCCGAAATGTCGTGTGGAGGGTATAGGTTAAAACAGTCCAGTGACACATTGGATGTTAGTCCTATTTCAACTTCAGAGGTTGTTACGTTCAGAACACATGCATTTGAGGTCGGTGTCAAGACAGCTGCCAGAATAATCTGCACGAATATCCAGGTGGCCTCCATTCTTCTCGCACAGCGGCTTACTTGGGTCATGATGATCTGTCACTAGCTTTGCCGGAAAATCTATACAAAAATTAGAAGAAAAAAAACACAACAACAACTCAGTCAAGACGAAATTTAAAGGGTCAAGAAAAAAGCAGGATAAGTCCATTTTAAAGAAAAAGTCAGGGTCTGACCGTCAACTTACAGCAACATCTGCGCAATGTCCCTCTGAAATCAGTCAAGGGAAAAATCAGTATGTCTTTCATAGTTTGCATTTTAATAAAAGCGAATCAAGTTAAACGGAAGCCAAGTCCAACTTTAGAATGGTGGGAAATACTTTAAGCCGTCGTAGGATTAAAGTGGCTGCCTGATTTTCCTTTTATCTCTTCATTAGGATTGTAATAACTTTAAAAAACCCAATACAACACTCATCACTTAGAGCCATCACGTGGATATTCTGTCCTGGGCACTCTGTAGTGAAAGGCAATGAGGAGGCTGATATGCTGGCAGGCAGTGCCGTGGTTGATGGTGATGTGAAATTTGACAAAGGAGAAGTGTTGAAGACCATGGAGAAAAAGTTGCGGGAAGAAGACTGGGAGACAGCAGAACACCACGCAATCATAAGGATGCGGGAAAAGGGGATAGAGAGGGGAGAAGGAAGAAAGGAACGATTATCTGAAAAGGAAAGACGTCACCATAATCAGACAGCCACCGGCGCAATCAGTATGGATGCCTTGCGGGCTTTGGTGCTGGGGAGAACTGAGCACTTATGGACCTGTCCGGTGTGCAATGACGTTGTTGCCGAGGACAGGTAATACAGGTAAAAAAAACCAACGTCAAAATATTTCAGAACAAGCCAAACAAGTTGTTCCAAATTTTTGGCTCGGGACAACCCTCAACGATGTCTATAGAATTATCTTCTGTAGACATAATAATAATAATACATAATGTATAACACCTAGTACATATTAGTGCCAGTCAGATTCATTGATTGATTCGGGGATAGCAGGATTGCTCTTCATGGATGGGATAAAAGCTACCATTTTGACACAATACACCCGAAGTCAACTAACTTTGACAGTTTGAATGGTAATTTAAAAAACCGTTTGGTTTGTTATTCAAGGTTTCGAGACGAATCAATCATATCGTGCGAAAATGGTAGCTTTTCCCTTTCCTGAATGAAGATCAGGGTGCCCCCAACTGAATCCGGTGGCGTGTGCCTATTGCACAGGGTATGATTCACCAAGGAATTATTCAAAGACAGTCTTCGTTCTTTGTCTTGTTCTTCGAACGTTTTGTATCAGCACTTGTAAAGAGAATCCACAAGTTAGTAAACTATAGGTTAGTAGCAGTGACGTCCAGGATCGACCCTGCCTCCTAAACGATCTACTATGTGTCGATGGGGACGTAAAACGTCTATACTTTTTAAAATGATATTACCGGTTAAAGGAAGGTCAACATTTTGAGATAAATACAATGTTCAATGCATGAAAAACTTGAGGAAATCAGCCCTACCCCCTTAAGCTACTACGTCAACAAGATCTTTCAGTTTTTTTAACTGTGATACCCTCAGTAGACATATTCATTGAAGAACTTAACTATTGTTTGTTCGACCATCGAGGTACAAACCGATCGCCCGACTCGCAGCCTTTAAAAAAAAGAGGTTGTAATAAGGCTTTGAATCGGGCGACCGTTTGGCGATCGGTTTTTCGATCTCCCAATGCGCACTGGGTAATAGTGGAACGTTATTCCTGGTACAGCTTAACTTTCGTTTGTGTGACGTACAATATTATGTGTGTGGTCAGAATTAAAAAGAGAGCTTTTGGTCAGAGGAGGTCATACAATTTGTCCAGATCATCGAACTGGACATAGATTATGTTTAGAGAATACAGAACTTGCAGCAAGCAAGCAAGCACGCAAGCAAGCAAGCAAGCAAGCAAGCAAGCAAGCAAGCAAGCAAAAAGAAGAAAGAAGAAAAAGAAGAAGAAAAATAATAAT